TGATTACACGATTAATCAAACCTTCAGAAGCATCCGAATGTGTACGTCCACTTGCCATAAAGGATAAATGTAGAGTTTAGGCAAAAACAAAATAAGAACCCATTAATACATTATTATTGCATACACTTAATCAAACCTTTTTGTCCTGCGTTAATAAACAAACCACTGTCCATTATCTCTTGAAAAGGATTAAAAAATTCTATGTTTCTATTACTATCTAATAATATTCTATTGTTTTTACAAAGTTAATGTTGTTTCCAAATTCTGACCTGGAGTGTACATCAACACAGGTGTAGGTTCAGCTGAGATAAATCATTCAAGATTCAGACAGTAAATCCAATAAAAGGGCTTTCATGAAAACTTTGTACACCTATTCATCATTGTAATGGCCCATGGACCTCTCAGTATGACTCAGGGCTTTCCTAAATGTGTCTGTGTTAGTGTTTTAGCTCGGCCCAGGCTTGGCAGTGTGTGTGGTGCTGCAAGACAGATGGCAATGTGCTGATCTCTAGAGGCCAGTTATCATGCTTCATATTTATACAATACATGGATGCTGGTGCCTGTTTTACATCTGATCCTTGCACATGTATGCACACACACACACACACACACACACACATACACACACACACCTGCGTTGTCTGGAGGGGCATCAGTATGAAGCCTAATAATGACCATCTGATGCAGCCAGCAACAGCTGTAAAGCTACAGGATGGCAAGGGCACATACTCGTGTGTGAAACATGTGAAAAGTGTGAAAGATCCTTTGGAGCAGAGTGATAGCAGAGTAAAGTAGGCTATTAAATAAAGAAGCCTAGTAGTAGTGTCTTTCACAAACGAGACAACCCTTTGAGGCAGCTCTTTTAGACAAACACTGGGAGCTAAAGAGCCGTTACATATCCTTCTGCTGAAAAGTCATCAGTATTCTGTATTCATGATTCTCTTCAGCTTTTAATCATATACAGTGCAACCGTGAATGAATTGCTGATGAATCTAGTCGGTTTGGAACAACATAACAATTTACAGACAGTTCTATTGAGAATGTAAAGACGTGTGTTTGACTCTCTGTGTGTGGCAAGCACCATGACGGGCTGACTGCACTTCTGCTTGTCATAATGAGGTATGTAGTGTAGTCTATAGGGGAATAATAAAATGACAACAATCACTAAATTCTACATTTAATGAAAGTTAAGCTCATACAGCAGTGTACTAATATTAAAGAATGAATGCTCGCTGCATTTGAGAAAGCATGTATGTAGCACCTTGCAGGTTTTACATTTATTTAAATTTATTTTTAGAATGAGCACAATACAAAGTATAATGTTAGAGCTAGAATTCCCATAACTAGCAGTAGTCTACACCACCATTGGGTTATATTCTTTTTTTGCACTGTACTATGCAGTTCTGTGCTCAACCAAAAGCAGAAGCTATAACCTAACAGCACTATAACCTAAAATGGAAGGCTTTTCCCAGATCCACACTTTGCCCATGAAAATACCTAAATCTATTAAGTCGATGGATGGGCTATCATTGGCAATAAAAAAAAACAAGCACACACATTGCTCTGTACATCAGCAGAGCCTTGCATTCTTTGCTTGTTTTTGATGATTAGAATGACAAAGGATTACACTGGCACATCCCTTCTCCAAACAAGCCACCACCATATTTAAGAAGCTAAATTTTGTGTTGAATGGTTTTTTTGTTTTTTTTTTAGAAAAACATGCCAGTAGTTGGATTGGCTACTCTAAATTGTGAAGGTGTGTGCATGGTTCCCATCCAGGGCATATTCCCACCTCTCATCCAGTGCTTCAGGGATAGGATCCGGATCCACCGGATTTCCTGACCAGGAAAAAGCAGTTACTGAAGACGATTAAATGAATAAATTATTTAGTAAACATCAGCACGTTCGCTGCACAACTCATGAAGATGGCAAGCCTGTTCATTTCTTTTCATGTCCTGTAATCTCTGAGCTTGTTTCTCTTCTCACTGTTTTCCACAAATACACCCTTGTTAGCATTTCAGTACTGAAAACCAAGTTAGGGGAAATTGGTCAGTTATCACACACAATTAAAATGTGCCATTTTGGGATTCGCCGTTGCCATGCACCAACCATGTAGTCAAACAACAAGCAGAATGAGGTCTAAGGGACCTACAGAGATGCAAATATGGCAGAGAAAAGCCTTAGGGAAAATAAGTATTCAATCACTTTTGGTTTATATAAAATGAACAAAAAGTATGTATTCATAAGCATGAACAAAAATGTGTTTAAAAAACAAAATTGATAGGGAAAAAAAAGTATTCAGGCACTATATAAAATTATACATATTTATGCAAAGGTTACATAAAAATAAATCTAGTTTTAAAAAATGTTCTTGTGCCATTTGTGCCTTTTCTCTTTGTAAAAGACATTGCCATAGGTTTGGAAGATTTCATGTAACAAGTAGCAATCATGTTAAAGGTGAAGGAGCTTCCTAAAGTTCTCAGGGACAATGTTTTAAACAGCACTCAAATGGAAAAGCTACAGAGCCATAGCAAAGACTTATAAAGCATATCCTCTCAGTACATTTGGTTCTATAATGTAGAAAATTCATGGAACCAAAACTAATCATCCCCGTACAGGTGCGCCATGCAAGAATTTACAATATAATGATAAGGAAGGTAAGAGAAGCCAACAGTCATTCTAAAAGAGTTGCAGGATGACCCGAAAGCAGCAGGACAATAGTTACACACAGAATAATAAGCAAACTGCACCACAATCATCTCTGTTTGTACACCCCACACAAAACTCCTCAGCTACAAAGTAAGCACAGAGATACATGGCCAAAGAAGCATTTAGACAAATCAGAACAATATACTTTTAGAACAATATACTCTGGTCAAACAAAACAACCATAAAACTCTTTGGCAATTTAATTTAGACATGATGTTTGGAGACAGAAGGGATGCGCATATGATCCCAAGAGTGAAGTATGAAGGTGGGAGTGTCATGATATTGTGCTATACCAAGACATATTAGAGGTGAATTTAATCTTATCAACCAAGAAATTGAATAGAGAGAAAATGGAAGTTTCAACAGGACAACAATCCCAAACGTATAGCCAAAACAATTCAAACATTCCTTGCATGGCCTAGTCAATCTCCTGACTTTAATCCCATTGAGAATGTATGGAAGAATTTTAAATTGTGAGTCCATTAGAGGGACTCTCTTAGCCTTAGAGGTATGGGCAAAAACTGAACCACAATTACTTCTTAGCGTAGACATCTCAAAGCTGTAATTACCAACAGCTTTGCAACAAAGTATTTATGTTGGTAATTTGTGGTATCTGAATACTTTTTCCCAATCAGTGTAACTCTTTGATTATGCTCATGAATACATACATTTTGTTCATATTTATAAGTACAAAGTCAAAAGATATTGTGTGTAAATTTGTAGTAAATACTGTATATGCACTGGATGTACATTAAATAACAAAAACAATAGTGTCCGAATAATTATTTCCCCTCACTGTAGCTGAGGCTACAAAATGTGACAGCTCAGTTGTTTTTATTCGCTTAATTCTTCAACTTTCTGTTTTACAAACTATACAGCGTAATGGCTGAGGAAGCCCATGTGATTCGTAAAGCTTTGGCTATGTCCAAAACCTCATACTGCCGCATTTCAATGTAAGGCAACATAGTATGCCACCTGTATAGTATGCAAGAAATGATTTTCCATCCCTTGTGAAATTTGACTACAAAATGTTCTCATGTTTGTAGAAAACAGAGGCCTGAAAATAAGCTGAAGACAGCACATACTGCTAATCACAGAAACCTAAGAGGGGGGAAATAAATACACTAGGCTGGTTTTGGAGCTATACCACAGGGGGTTCGGTGCTACTAAAGAAAAACGCTCTAGGCCTACACTACACTGTAGAAAAAATTACTATATATTTTACAGCAATTTACTGGCAGTCTGGGTTGCTATTAAAGTACTGCAAAAACATATTTACTGTACAGTACTGTAATATCTTACATAATATAAAATAACATATAAATACACATAAAATAGCACATTTCAACACACAACCTTCTGATCTGTAACGCAAACCCTTAATTACTGAACCACCACATCTAGCTCAACTAGCTTTCACTGATTCAATGCAGTCTTTTAGTGGAGTTAATTCAGTGGAAGAAGTGGTCGAATCAGTGCAAGCTAGTTGAGCTGGTCGTGGTGGCTCAGTGGTTAAGGCTTGGAGTTACAGATCAGAAAGGTGTGTATTTAAATCCCAGCACTGCCAAACTACCACGGTTGGGTCCTGGGACAAGACCCTTAACCTTCAGCTCTGTTGCATCCTGCATCAGCCAAATGAGCAAACGTACTGGATTATGTGTTCGTTTATACTATGTACGATATTACAGTACTTTACTGTGAATATGTTTTATAGTTGTTTACTGTATATTTTACAGTGCTTTACTGACAACGCAGGCTGCTAGCATATTACTGTAAAATTTACAGTATTTTTTAACAGTGTACGCTACCACTGAAACATTCAATTTTGTTATGTAGTTCTGGGATGTAACCAAAAGCAGGATCGTGTTACACACATATAGTGCCTTCACTGTAATAAATTGTTGTAAATTTTGGAGTAATTTACTGACAATTTGGGTTGTCAGTAAAGTACTGTAAAATATACAGTAAACAACTGTAAAATATATTTACAGTAAAGTACTGTAATAGCTTATTGTTGTATAAAATGACACAAAACCCAGCACTCAAGCTCATTTGGCTGATGCAGGATACAACTGAGTTGACGGTTACAGGTCTTGCCCAACCATGACAGCTTGATAGTACTGGGATCTGAACACACAAACTTCTGAGCTGTGACTCAAAGCCTTAACCACTTAACCACCACAACTACATGATTACACCACCGCAACTAGCTTGCATTGATTCAACTACTTCTAGCACTGAATTAACACCACTAAAACATTGCAATGAATCAGTGGAAGCTAGTTGTGCTAGCTGTGGTAGCTCAGTGGTTATGGCTTTGCGTTGCAGATAAGGTGGTCATGTGTTCAAATCCCAACACCACCAAGCTGCCTTGATTGGATCCTTGAGCGAGACCTTTCAGCTCAGCTGTATCCACATACAGGGTTATGTGTTATTTTATATTATGTATGATACTGCAGTACTTTACTGTAAACAGTTGTTTACTGTAAATTTTGCAATACTTTATTGGCAACCCAGGTTGCCAGTAAATTACTGTAAAATCTACAGTAAATTTGTTTACAGTGTTCACTCTTAGGAAATGAGGCTCTTCAAGGGTTCTCTAATGGTTTGTTGTATAATTAAGGATTCTTGGTTTCCTCAATGGAACCTACAAGAAATCCATTCTGACAGGAAAACAGTCTTTTGTAGAGTTTTATATAGAATCTTTAAAGGCTCCCACAGAGGAACATACTGAAGAATCATTAAGGGGTTTCAGGTTTTTTAAGCATGTACTATGTAGTGCGCTAGTGTCGGTTGAAGACGCAGCCTTTGTGTGAGCAGCTGCTCGTGGAGCTGTCCGAGGCTGGCTGGTGCTGAAATGGGTGAGATGAGACAGGCTTGGCAGAAGACACTTCACTGAGCATCCTCTCAATCCGGGGAGGAAAAACACAGCGATTGAGAGGGGGTGCTGCACAGTGAGCGTGATATGCTAGTGCTTTACTTCAAAACAAAACCGCTTCTTAGACTGCAGGGCACGTCCGCACCTGGAGCTGCCACTGTGCATGTAGGAAACATGGGCCTGTTGCTAAAGAAACGAAGTGTTTCCATTCATCACGACCAATATCACGCATGGAGCTCGGAATGGCTGAAATGTATTGCAGACATATCCTTTTCCCCTGCTCATACGCAGTGTACACCACAAGTCCAACGCCTCTTTGTCTTCTACTGCCATTGATGTCGAATTGTGTTGATCGTATAGTGTCGTGAAAGACACATATATATAGATATATATTAAATCTGCAGTAAACAGAGCATTCAGCTGACAAAGCAAGAAAAAATACATTTTGAAATAAGCAAGTCACGTGCTCCGAGAGGAATCTTAATCATTCAAAACAAAAATAGCAGCATATAAACATAAGCCACTACCATATGCTGCACGAAGTGGAGAAATATATAGCGTATTTTATAATTACGTGGCAAATTCTCTGAACTTGGTAGGCGTGAATGAAGGATTAGATGATGAAACGAACAGAGGAAATGAGTGTGATGCGTGAACGCAGAAGGAACTCGCCATCTCGATGCATTCCAGACATTTGAGAGGTTAAGAGGTAAATAAGCACATGTGAGAGAGCGCCTGATAGAATGGTGTAGAATAATGATGGTGTAAATAAGATACCTGACTGCTTATTCGACATAACCATGAGACATATCAGCAGCTGGAAGGGAAAAAAAACTACAACAACATCTGGCTTTTCAGCCTCTGCAGCATCACTGATGTGAGTTACTCACACATAAGCGTGATAGATGAATGCCCAGCCTCGTGGTCTCTCCAGAACATTGTAGAGGAAATTCTGCAGGCGGCGGTAGAAGGCGTTGCGCTTGGGCGGCTTCTTGCCCGCGATGCCGGAGCGTTGCTTGCTCAGGATGCTGCCGCGTTTGGTCGCGTCACTGGCCGCGATGAGCAGCGCGCCATCACGACTCGAATCCGCCGCGGCCGCCTCGAGCCCCACAAAGCCCACCTTGAGCTTCTTCTCGGTCTGCGGGCCCGGGTAAACCCCGCCGTTGCGGGATTTCTGCACCATGTTCGCGGCGGCGCTGGCATGGAGAGGAGAGAGAGGAGGCGCGGGCGCGCGTGCCGGGGCTCCTCCGCCCTCTGCCAGGTGCGAGCAGCTCGGTGAGAGAGGCGCGTGTGCGCGCGCGCGCCCAGGGGTAAGGACGGGAAGAAGCGCGTGTGCGCGCGCAAGGAGGAGCTCGGGTGTGCGTGAAAAGGAGAAACCAATAGCGACGCGGGGGAGAGAGTCCGCAGTCTCTCTCTTTCTCTCTCTCTCTCTCTCTAAATCAGTATCTTCCGACCACCTGACAGCAGGAGTGGAAAAGAGAGAACGGGTGCTCAATAATTCAGAGGGGATGCAGGGAGAATAGGTCTAACACACACTAAAATAATCTATTGAAAAAGAAAAAAAAACACAGTAAACACCGCACACATTACAGCGGCAGTGTGACCTGTACAGTGGCTTACAAAAAAAAAAAAAAATCTGCACTGAAACAACGGAAGCTATAGGGGAGTGGCCTTAAAAGAGAGAGAAAGAGAGATTGAGATCATGTCCCCTGAGATTAATAGCTGCTCCAGCTCCAGCTCCAGCTCCAGCTAATCTAATCATGAACAAAACCCTGATATACACCATACCTGCCCAGGCCTGTCACTGAGGGACCCATGGTTAGAGAGAGAGAGAGAAAGAGAGAAAGAGAGAAAGAGAGAAAGGGGGGGGGGGGATGGTCAGAGAGAGAGAATCATCATATCATAGACACATGCTCTCTAACACTTTGATAAACAGTTGAGTAATAAAACAAATCACTGTGTATTTTTTTCTTTCTTACTGCTATTATTTTGTCAAACCTTTTTTAATTGTGTGTAAATGTGTATATCTGTAATTTAATGTTACCAGTGTTTTGGCAATGTAAAGCCTTTTACCATGCCAGTAAAGCTACTTGAATCTGAATCTAATGGAATTCTACTCCAATATGCATTTCTAATTTCATCATAAGTACAATCACTGCTGTTTCTTTCATGTATCGTCAGCTTTACACTGTAATGATGATGAGTGAGCAGCACCAGAGGGCTGAGATCATTTGGAAGTGAATCAGACCAACACTACTACGCACAGTGTTCGAACAATATCAGGTAGGCCTATACCCCAGCATCCTAATGCCCTCTCTTTCCTATACACTAACAGTTCATAGTCCCGCAATTATAATGTCTGCTAGACAATTCATACTGTTGACTTTAAGTCATCCAGTTACTTTCAGTAAATAACATTTTGTATGTTGACTGGTTCTGCAACATCACAGCACCTCACTTTGTTACAAAGACTATATGCACATTCAGGATGGCCCCACATGGATAGCCTAAAGATCACCATGGGTTTAGTGTGGATGGTAGCACACAGACACCCTAAAGATGGCTGTGGATGTTCTTCCTTGGATGGCCTAAAGACTTCAATTACTAAGAACAATGTACACTCAAGTCTCCATCACTGAACAGTTGATAACTTCGGTTTGATACAATAGACTTAATGTTAAAATAATAATGATACTCATACTCAAGTTCCTGTTAACACAATTAGCACTTTTGACTCTATAGTATACATTTATAGAAAAGAAATTATTTAAAATTTACATTTACGGCATTTGGCAGACGCCCTTATCCAGAGTGACTTACAATAGTGCTTTGAAGTCTATCAAAAATACATTCTGATATTGGCTCACTAGGTCACAAACTAGGAATACCATCAGTCCAAAACTCTGTTGGGGAGGTAATAGACAAGCGCTCAGACAATACTTTTTTTTTGTGTGTGTGTAAGTGCTAACTTAAGTACTTTATGAAGAAGTAAGTCTTTAGACGTTGTTTGAAGACTGCCAGTGACTCAGCTGTTCGGACATCTAGGGGAAGTTCATTCCACCACCTTGGTGCCAGAACAGAGAAGAGTCTCGATGCATGCCTTCCTTGTACCCTGAGAGATGGTGGGACCAGTCGAGCAGTGCTAGAGGATCGGAGGGAGCGTGGTGGCGCTCGAGGTGTGATAAGTGCTTTGAGATAAGTGGG